GCGTTTAATGAATACCCGGCGTCCACGAGGCGCGATTCAAATCCGTACTGGTAACGCCATCCTCTCGGCGAATCGCGCTAGAAGTCGCGATTCATCCGACGGAAGAGGTCAGCAGCGACCAGAGGCGCGATCGTCGTCACTGTGCACGTGATGCGCACCGCACGAATCGAACTTGTCTTCCGCGGGTACTCCGATATCAGTATTTCTCGAACGATTGAATCAGTCCAAATTAATCGGGCTAAATTGACCGAACCAGATGAATTCCGCGCGATCCGGGAACACGGAGAAGTTCGACGTGATCTCGAAACTGGAGGTGCGCCGAAAGAATTTCAATTTTCTTATCTCTCGTCCGACAAACCGGATTCTTCGAATCGCGTGTCACGTAATGCGAAATTAAGCGACGTTTCGCCGCGAATTTTCACCCGAAGTCGGAAGATACCGTCTTCCCTCACCTCCCCCCCCCCGCTCTCGAGTTACGAAGCTATTCTACCCAATTTCCGGCGAACTACCAAACTAAATTGCACCCCGCAAATAGGATTTCACCGCGGGGATCGTCCGCCTTCGGGATCATCGACGACCGTGCACACTCACCAGCACACACGCCCACGCATACATTCTCTCATGCATACATACACACACTCACACACACTTGCGAGAGATTTAAAATAAAAAACAATTTATTAACGACATAATTACAATAGTATATTCTGCGTGTGGAAAGCAATATTTCTCTTTATACATCGTTTTGTTGTATTTTTTTATCCTTTTTTTATCCATTTTTAGTCTCGGACCGTTCGACACAATAAATCTTCGATTTAATCACAAGCCTACTATAAAATATCCGCGCTCGATATACATGTTTACCTTTGCCCGTCGCGCGTCCGCGCGTGTGGTTCGTTCTGGTCTCCCTTCCCGTCCACCGGAAAACAATCGCGACGATTCGCGCGAGTTTTCGCTCTCTTGTATTCCTCTTTGTATTATCCTTTTTCTCACAAGTGCGAATTATTTCTTTTACACGGCACAAGCCACATGCAACGGAACGGCCGGACACCGTGCTGTGTGTAAACTCTTACTCGACGAAATCCGTCCTCGTGCGACCGAGTGCGACTAATTTTGCGTTTCTCTATCTCTCTCTCTCTCTCTCTTTCTCTCACGGTTTCCCGAGTCTCACTATTCGCAAGCAAAATCGATAGTGCGGATGCTCGAACCTTTTTTCCCACTTTCACGCTCAAAAAACACTCAATGTTACCGGAGAGGCGGCCTCATCGCCCGCCAAAGGCTCGCGTCACGAGCGACAAACAGCACGCTTGATATTTCTCCAAGTGATCCCAATTCTCTCGAAAAACGCTTCCAATTCGTTAAAAAAATAAAAGAAAGAAATGAAATAACTGACACTCCGGCGCTGTTTTCATGAACAAAAACCGGCATTCAGTCAGATCGTTTTAATTTAAGATCGTCTTGAGTTTATCTTCAAATACTGTACGGCTCATTTCATCGGCTATAAGAATATCTGAAGATGAATTTAACACGATCTTAAATCTAACATCTGACTATGAATTCCGGCCAAGGAGTCATAAACGCTCGGTTATTCTTTAGATCGAGGATACACGATTTTCGACCTTATGCTGTCCACGCGTAAGGTTGAAAACCGCACACACTCGCCGTCACACTTGTCCGGCTATTATAATTAGGATTACTTGAACGAGTTTCGACTTTATACATAGGTAAACAGAAGGTGAAACATTGTATACTCGGAATCCAAGAACTGGCCAGGAGTTCACGACTCTGCGCAGCACCGAGGCCGTCCGTCCGAACGGAGCGGGACGAGAGCGTCCCGGATATCGCGTGGTCGCACTCGTTCGCGCCAGGACGCTGTTATCTGGTCACCGTAGGACTAACGACGAGCGCGAGACTGGCCGTGCCTAAGAGTCCGCTATCGCTACGCTCGAACGGGGATTAATCGCGAGGAATTTCTACCTAAGACGCGCTCTATCCTAGAAAAACCGGCTTGTAAAATTCAGCTAAATCACTGTACAAAACGGTGAGAAAACGGAAACGATTAAGCCGCGCGTGCGCGCTGCTACGGAACATTAGTGCGGTTACAGTGACAGATAACACACTCCCGATCTCGGTGTGACCTCCACGGGAGGAGAGATACACGTCCGCTCGGTATACGCGTATATATCGTACGCGCGCAATTCTTTTCCCTTCTTCTTCTGTCTTCGGTTTCCTCTTTTCCTCCTCGCTTTCGCTGGCGTGTTGTGTGTGTGTGTGTGTGTGTGTGTTGCGAGCGAGAAAATCGCTCACTGTGACTCCTGTCATGTCATCTCGGTTTTCTAATTTTACTTCGCGCCGAGGGACAATTCGAGCGACTCGCGTGCCACCCAACGGTTTGCGCGGCAGTAAAGGAGAATCGTAGAGGCAGCGAGATGTGAGAGCGAGAAAGAGAGAGGTAGAAATATATATTTATGAGAGACCAAGAGCGTTAATTTATCGTCCAGATCTCATCACCCTAAGATCACCTAAAATTCATCTCCAGATGATACATAGTCAATGAAATCCGCGCAGTATCTGAGGACGGGCCCTCGAGACTTAAAATCTGAATTCTTGCGGTATACGTACGAATAAAAAGTGCGCTGAATCCATCATAAACGTCATTTTGTGGGGTGTATCTTTTTATTCGACCGTATACCGCGAGAATTCTCGTCGTGGTTTCCGACGTTATCAAGCAAGATGTGGTTGCGACGAATACATAAAAGCCTCGGGCATAACATCAGATTATGAATACAGCTCTAAGAACAAGCGAAATTCTTATCTGTTTCTTTCACTGTCAGAATTTCTTCTTCGAAGAACAGTCGTGCTCCTTGCCGTTCTCTCCGCGCGAAAAACGCGAGCTTCCGTCTCGCTCTTGGATCCCGCCGTCCTCGATTCGTGGTCTTAGGTCTTGCGGTCGTAAACCGATAAATACTACAAAAAGTTTGTTCAAGAGCGCTTTGCGCAAATCGTCGTTTCGCGCGCGAGCCGGTCGAGGGATCGTCATCGAACGAGCGATACGATTCCCCCTTGACCCAGGATGAGTAACGATCGACACGCAATAGGCTCCGCGACAAACAACTCGCGCGAGAGACGGCTCTGCAGCGTCGATCTTCTCCTCTCGCGTCGTCGGTGGAATCACGTCTACGTGTGACTCACGCGAATTGTCCGCCCTCGTAAGACGATCCAAGTGGAACAATGGATGATACACAGCAGCAGATTTCTTATTTTTCCGCTCGGATCGACCGTGACTTCGTTGCTCGTCCGTCGTCGCCTTGGCGATTCGTTCGTTCGCTTCACGCCCGATTTCACCGACGTCGGTTAGGTTTTAGTTTTTGTCTGAAGAGAATTTCAACTCAGCCTCCCGACGGAAACGTGAAAAGTGAAATGTCTTCAGAATAGAGAACGTACACTTTTCACGAATTGACGCTAGAGGAGAACACATCTACACCCAGGGAGTCAAGAATCCTCTCCTCTAGAATGAACTTGTGAAAAGTATACATTTTTTTTTTTATTTGAAAACATTTCACGTTTCCGTCTTAGGGGGAAAATTACGTTATTGATGCTCGGGTTAAAGTTTAATCGATGTTGGTGAAATCGGGCGTTCGAGAATTAAATTGAAAATCCGACGCGCTCTGACGAAGGGAGGAAGGAACATGTCTCCTTGGGTGATCTCAAGTGCCGGAAACCGGCCGGGGTTTCGTTCGGTCTTGATGCGTTGCTCATCCGGGCTTCGCAGGTGCATCGGTGAAATATCCGAAGGAACGCTTGCACGACACTCGCACGCGGAGTGAGAATGGCCTATTCAGCTTCTTCGCTTCGCGTACGATCAGTATATTCGCGTGTGCGTGTGTGATTGTGGTGTATACGCGTAAGTTATTACATGGTCGAGGATCCTACATGTCGCGACAGAAAGGAATCGCATGAGCGGGTTCGAAAATTACGACAGCTACGACGAGCGAGAGAGAGAGAGAGAGAGAGAAAGAGACACGAGTCTGTGGAAAGCGAAAGCTCCGGACGCGTAAAGTTTCCGAAAACATCTATGAAGCGGCCGCTAGTCAACGAAGAAAGAGAGAGAAAGAGAGGTAGGGAGAAAACAAAAAGAGAATGAAAGAGGGAGGGGGGGGGGGGGGAACCGAGACGGAAAAACCAAGGCCTTTNAAGGCCTTTGTTGAGGAAGAAGTAGCGGCTTAACGGATAATCAGTAAGAATTGGCCACGAAAAACAGAGATAGAGAGAGAGAGAGAGAGAGAGATCTATATCGTGTTTTTTCCTCATTCTCGTTTAAATTAACCGTAAATTAACATCTAATCGGTAATCCGACGATACGAAGAACACTAGCGTGAGAACACGAGCGAAAACGTGAGGAGATCGGATGACGTTACACCGTTACACGCTCTTAACGCACTCATGACGCAATTCATGCGCGACGTGCATAGCTGATGAAGAGTCGAGGATGGCAGTAGTAGCGGTAACCAATCATAAACACCGGAGCTCGAACTGCCCGCTTACCTCTGCTGCGTTTCTCTCAAGTAACATTTAGTTGCCTCGTTATTTATATTTACACACACACCGATGTGTATCGATACCGATAAATCTACTTCTCGGAGATTTCTTCCCACTTGCGTCTTCCTCCTCGGTGAATACATCTCTCGTTTATACATCGTTAAACGCGTACAATACAGCTCGTACATAACACATCTCGTCGCCGACCGCTATTATTAATACGCTCGCCTCTCGCTGAGCCCCCTTCGAGATAGAGATAGAGAGAGAGAAAGAGAGAGACAGAAAGAGAAGAAGAGAAAGAGAGAGGGAGAGAGAAAACCAAAATCTACACTTCACCCACCCGCTCTTTCGTGTTTATCAGCACATCTAACATCTAAATTCAGCGCGTGTTGTACGCTTTTCTCTCTCTCCGCTAAACGGTGTATCTATGTATATATGTATATAATATATATATTTATATATTTTTTTTTACATATATACTTATGTATATATATATTTATTTATTATATGTATATTCACTGTTCCAGGGCACCGAAACTTGTTGCGTCAAAGGCATCTCGTGGCTATTGTTGTATCTCTTTTTTTTTCTTCTTCTTTTTACTTAGACTTTCTCTTTTAAATAAATAAATTGCGATCACTTCGTTTTTTTTTTCTTTTCTTTACTTAGTTAGCATGGACGTCACAGAGCATCTGTACTCAACGGCGACAGGAGACTAAAGAGACTTCTCTATTCCGTAACTCCCTACTTTCCCCGCTTACGTCACAACTCACGGATTCGAGAGATTTGAACTTCCTAGCAATAGCAGAAAATAGTTCTCGCCTTTCTACTAGCTCTCCTCGCGGGTAGTTTTCTATTTCTTCTTCTTCTTCTTCTTCTCCTCTATTTTCTCTCATCGTTTAAATTACTGGCTTAACTCTGGTAATAGTAGTAGTAATACATCGTAATAACCTAGCTCTCAGCTTCGTTCTCAGCTTCGTTAGACTATCGTGGAGACTTGCCTTTTTTTTTTTTACCTTTTACTCTGTAAACGGCGTTAAGATACATATCCCGCAGGCGAAGTTGTACGAAACTAATCTTCTCTTCGTCGAATGTACAGCGGCGTAATTGCGTGCGATTATCTTTTTCACGATTTTAGGTAGAGAGATAGAGACAGAGAGAAAGAGATGGGGTGAGGGGGGAGGGAGAGAGAGAGAGAGAGACACGCCGGAACGTTACGAGGAAAGAGCGTCGAGAGTTTTTTTTGTTCCTTCACACACGTAGCACTATATAATATCTACCACTTGATTACGTTTTCGAACGCGCGCGCGTGCGTGTATCTTCTTCTTTTTTATCTTTCATTCGCATAGGTACTTCCGTGTGTATGTATGTACTCTGCATTGTTACCTTAAGAGTGTTTTTACCTAGTCTTTATCGTAATTACGCTATTATTACCAAGGTGCCCTGGCTATCAGCAAGACTACGAAATGCAAATCGTAAAATCGTTCACAGTGCGATCGAAAGGAAAGGTATTCGGTTCCACGGGGCGTTAAAACCGCACGGGCGTGTTTGATGCGTGTGCATGTGTGTATTTGTTCGTGTACTTGTGTCACGTAGAACGATCGGTTGCGCGCACGTCGCCGCAACACACACAGTGCCGTTTCTTCGTCGTTCCTTCGGGAAAGTGGCTCGCCCGTGGCTCATATCGTTTGCGTTTGAACGTATGGTTTGGGCTGTCTCTGTTAGGAACCTGAATAAGGCAACGAAGGAGCCCTGAATCTTAACAGTGTATTTTCTTTCTTTCTCCCTCTTCTTGACGCCTTTTCGCGCGATACTTCGAAAGCCTGGCGTCCATTTTTATCGTGCATTCGGCTAAGTGTTTGCTTATTGCCTTATAGGAGAGAAAGAGAGACAGAGAAAGAGAGACGGCGATAGAGAGAGAGAGAGAGAGAGAGAGAGAGAGAGAGAGAGAGAGAGAGAGNGTGCCGAAGAGTTGACCGTGGACATAACGTTAAAATGGCAATGATAATAAAACGAGTAAAACGTATCGGTATTTCGAATGAGAGAGGCGCACCGCGCGTTGCCACTCGCACAACCAACATGATTCTCCGCGCGCAACGGGCCAAAGCTCTCGCAATAAAGCAGCGCGAAAATACGTAATATAAAAGTCCGATCCTCGTCCGAACGTCGCCAACAATCACATTAGATTTTCCGGAAATCGAATCAAAAGACATCCGATTGAGCGCGTATATATATGTACACATTACAACATCAATAAAATCATCAGCATCCGCTCTAACGGACGAAAAGGTATCCGCCGCTCCGACTATCACACGGATTTTACCAACAACTTCGTATCACAGAGCTGGATCATATAAATACAATGTTCTCGAAACAGAAAAAGAGAGAAAGAGAAACAGAAAGAAAGAGAGAGAGAGAGAGAGAAAGAAAGAAAAAAAGAAAGAAAGAAAGAAAGAAAGAGAGTGAGTGAGAGAGCTTGGGCTCGAGAGCTTAGCCGAGCATTACTTAGCGGACAAACGAACGGTCGGCGGATCAAAGGTGTCGCGATACCACTTTTTCTTCAACGAGCCTCGCAACGCATCCCGCATATCCGAAAGGACCAGTTTATTTCTCAGCAATCCTCAGAGGATGCGTTTTCTCATTGAGAACACGAGAGACGCGTTGCGAGACTCGTCGAGGAGGAGGTGTGTTGTTGGCAACCTTTCAGCCTGCCGAGTTTTGCGAAAAATTCGAAAGAAAAACAGGGAGGACACACTACCACTCTTTACGCGCGTCGCGTCGGATAAATAAGAAGTGCGTGCGAGCGTGCGAGAGGACCACACACGGGACCGAGGCTCCCTCCCGATCGTCTCTTTTTTTTTTCTTGTTTTCGTTTAATACCATTACCACAGAGAGCTTATTATGCTACGCTTCGAACTTCGAATTTTTTTTCCCTTTTTTCTCACAACATACGGCCTCCTCGGCACGCGGTGCAACGAAAGCCAAGGAGAACGATAAGAAAACACTCCCCCCCCCCCNCCCTCCCCCCCACGACGAGAGGTCGAGTATCACCGCGCGAGTCGCGCAACGAGAGAGACCCGTCGTCGTCGACGACGACGCGCACCGCCGCCCGTTACCGACACGCGCGTGTCCAAGGCATGCGACACTTGTGGCTATTGTGCACCTTTATCACTAGGCTCTCTCCCGTATCGTTCCCGCCTGCCTGGACAGCCGGCTGGCCGAGCTGTTCGAGCCGCGATACGCGCTCGTCGCGAATCGTGACAACGCCGCGCGCGCTTTTACTCACACACGACAACCCGTGCTCATCACGTATATACAAACAAGAGTGACGCGTGGCCGCGGACAGGTCAGCCGTCCGCCGTCCGCGACGTCGCCGTCGCCGACGTCAGGGACGACGACGGCGGCGGCGCCGGATGATGAGGGTGATGTACCAAGGCCGGAATTTCGATCACGTCAGCAGCCGGCTGATTAGCGCCGGCGGCGGCGCTGCTGATCGAGCAGGAGGTGAGGGGTTGCTATTTCTTGGTCGGTGTGCCCCGTTGCGTGAGACCCTCGAAGCGTTTGAAGGTGTAATTGATGAATACCCAGTCCTTGTATATTACCTCGCCGTCCTGGGGCATCGGCGCGGACGCTGCAACGAGACAACGGGAGACGGTTTTTAGTCGCGCGCGCGCTACTCGCCACTTCGATAACCGAGAAGAACCGACCGTCGTTACTTCGCGGACGTAAGTCCAGCCGGCAGATTAGAGCAACCGCAACCATTCCTTTTCCGGTGAGTTCCGGAACGATTTCGCGGAATTATCCCGTTATCCCCGATAGGGAAATTGCGTTTCGGTAATTTTCAGAAGATACGTTTTCCTCAACAACGAGAGACGGCTCCGGAGGAAAATTACTGCGCAAGTATGTATGCATTAGTAAGAATGAAAGGCTGACAAGAGACGTCGCTGGATGTTAGGTAAAGTTTTAAATCTCAGCGCGACGTTGCCTGTCGGCGGATGGCTGCGTTCAGCGGGAAAAAAGCAGCTTAGAAAGAAGCGCTTTCCGTTGCGCTGCCAGCAGCTTTCCAACTGTTGCAAGACCTACTGCTGGACGACACTTTGCGAATTACGCCGCTTGCAACGTGTTTACTAAGCGGCCCGGCATATTAAAAGTGTACTGGAAACGATGGGCGACCGTCGCTCGGCGGATATGTTGAAAAAGCGTAAACCGCCGGTGCCGTTCAGTAGAAAGTCTTGAAACAGTTGCTAAGCTACCGGGGCAGCGTTCGCGCCAAGCGCTTACCAAGCTGCTTTTTCTGTTGAAAGCGAATTTGTCGCAGCTAATTTTATTCTCTTTGAAAAATTCGCGTCTAACACACGGCGGTGGCCGTCTTCTCATTGGCCCACCATTCTTCACTGGTTACGCGTTTTCTCATTGGATACGAGACGTGATGCGAAATTCACTGAATGAGTTTTGCTTTAAACTGCCGACTGTACACTAAAAGGAAAAGAGTGAGGGGAGGAAGACGTATACTATCACCTTTACGCGGATTGCGTCGGATGAATGAAAAACGCGGGGGTTCGAAGGGAGTAGGTGTTTGCGGATACTCACGTATCTCCAGCTTCACGTCTGGAAATTCGTCAAAGTTGGACGTGTCGTCGATGGACCGCACCTCGACCGGTATCGCGGCCGGCCGCTCCCTGATGTGCTCCCAGTCGACACCGCGGAAGAAAGGCGCCAACTTGAGCTCCTCGATGCCTCTTTGCGACCCTGACCAGACGAGTGTGCCGTGACGGCGATTATTATTAGCTCCTCGTCGGGAGGAAGAGATCTTTTAATAAATCCGCGCGAGAGAGAGAGAACCTTTCACGGGGACTCACCTAATCTTCTGTCGGCTTCGCAGCAGAATCTGATAATCGCGTCTTTAGCCTCTTCGCTGATGGGCACTTCCGGCGGAAAGACCAGCGTCTCCCGCCAGTTCATTACTTTTCTATACGTCTCCTGCGGATTTTCGCTGCAGAACGGCGGGTATCCTGAAAGAACAGACGCGTCGATTAATTTTTCACTTCCTTATTCTCGAAGTGTCTCGGAATGAAATTCCACTCGAAAAGTAGAATGACAGCCTGGCCACTCGAATTCGAGCGACTTCTCGCTCATGAAGAAGTGAATTCTCCACTCCGAGTCGCGTCCGATCGATATTTTCACTCGAAATTTAACGTACCTCGCAATCACCGGAACAAAAATTTACTCCAACGGATCGAAATATTCACTGGTGTGGATTAAGAATCCGTCGTGGAGTTTGAGTTAACTATTTAAGCGTCAGGTTTGTTTAATTTGTTAAAGCGACTGAAAGAAAACTCGATTGAGGCCTTTGACAAACGTTATCAACAAGCGCACTTAGTTCCTCAGAACACCTTTTGAAGTCCCTCGCAATTTAGAGAATACAGTCGGCAGAAAATCGCAACACTTTTCCTCTCGGCGAATCCTCTCGCGATGTATCTCGTATCCAACAGAAAAGTGTGTACCTTCTGAGAATTAGGAAGAAAATCCTGCTGCGTTGCGAAACTCATCGAAGGAAAGTGTCGCAAGCATTAATCTGCCGACTGTACAGTTTCATGATTATGAGGAATGTCTGTGAGGAAAATGGAAGAGGTAGCGAAAGGATCTCGCACCTATGAGCATCTCGTACATGATGACTCCCAAAGACCAGCAGTCGCAAGCCGGCCCGTAGCCCGTCTGCAGGAACACTTCCGGCGCGATGTAGTCCGGAGTGCCGACCGTGCTGTACGCCAGCGCTCTCCTGTTCCTCTTCCAGCTCTCGGCTCTTCTTTTGCTGTCCATCGCGCCGCCGCTTCCACTCCCGCATGATGTCACTGCGCGAAAACAGGCGGAAGTATAAGTCATAAGTCATAATAAGTTACAAGTCATCGACGCTGCGCAAACATCCCGGCACTACAATGCATTTTCTCTCAGTGTCAGAAGCGGCAGAAGAACTTACTGAAATCGGAAGGCTTCGCTTGGCTCAGGTCTCTGTAGAAGTCGGTCCTGTGCGATTTCTTCAGACCGGTGCACAGCCCGAAGTCAGAGAGTTTTATGTGGCCCCGTGCGTCCAGCAACAGGTTGTCCGGCTTGATGTCTCTGAAGAGCACCGTTGTTCAATCAATCTCGATTCATGAAGTCTCGAAAGTCTCGTTCGCTAACTCGTGACGTTGAAGAATGACGGAAAACGCGAGATTCTAAATACAAAGCGATATCCGGCCTCGGGGAGTACGCTGTGAAAAAGGTTCAGCCGAAGCGGCTCGAATCGCGAGTTAAACGAACTTCATTTCAGGATTAAACACGGCGACTTAACTGTCCTGATTTAGTCAGGGAAATTTTCGTGTTCTTCAAGTCCCTCGTTCGCGTAAAGACGAGATATTTCGTTCAATGAGACAATCGCAAAGTCGACCTAGTTTCAGTTTCGTTAACACTTTACTGTCGGCTAAATCTCCTAATTAAAGTTCTTACGTTGGATTGCGGATCTGACTCGATTTATACTCAATTTAACTCGATTGCTGTTTACGCAACGAAACTTGCGTAACCTCGAGACTTGGCTTATTTTATCCGATTTCCTCTTCGACGTAGCTTTAAACGCGCGAAATCACAGACGGAACGGTGGATGCATCAAACGTACCTATGAATAAAACCTAACTTGTGTATGGAGTCGATCGCTAACGCCGTTTCGGAAATATAAAATTGCGTGCACTCCTCGGAAAGCGTATCCTTCTTCATGAGCAGCGTCATCATGTCACCTGCGGATCATCCAAGATTGAACATGCATGCATGCGTGCGTGTGTGCACACGGAAAAAAGGAAAACCGCACTTCCGCCGCTCATCGCGAGGGCCATCGATCGCGCGACTTACCGCCGGGAAGGAACTCCATTATTAGATAGAGATTTATAGGATCCTGGAAACTGTAGTACATCTTCACGACCCACTGGTGGTCCGCTTCCACGAGGACGTCTCTCTCCGCTCTGACGTGCGCGACCTGCTCCTTCTCGAGCATGTCGGCCTTTCTAAGGATCTTCATCGCGTACACGTGTCCGGTGTCCTTCTTCTGCACGAGTCTCACCTGTTTATTTTGCGCCGCAAAAAAAAACAAACAAACAAAAAGAGGTACTTTTAGTGAAAATTCTGCAGCGGGGCTTGCGTCACGAGCGATTAAAAGAGCCGCTCTCTCGTCTAGAGTCTTGAATCCTTCTGCACGAAAGGGATTCCACTTGCTCCGCGAAGCGAGGAAAAATGCTGTTCTTTTCCGAGAAGCAACGAGATCATTTCGCTCTCGCGAATGCGAACGCGACCGCCGCGGCAGCTCGAGAGAGCCTTTCGTATATTTCCGTTATTATTATAATTGTTATAACCACATACAAGCGAAGTTCAATCTTCATCTCTCTAATGCGGTTAAATTGCCACGCGCGGACCGCGAGCGATTCACATGCGGCGCGCGCGCACACACACATATCCCCCCCCGTCTACTGTGTAATTCACATTCTCTCACGTATAACGAGAGTATCCCCGAAATAATACCCTATCACTCGCGTATTTGTTCGTGAGATCTCTACCGGCCGCGTATCGTGATGAAATTCGCGTTTCGACCGATTTCATCGCGGAACAAACGCGCGCCCCGGAATTACTCATTTTGCCGAGCCGCGTCGATTCAACGCTTAAATCAACTTTCAACAAATCTACTACACGGAGCAAGAGATTTCTTCGGATTCAATCAAGTCAGATAAACGGAATGGTCCAGATAAACCAATGTTTCAATCAATACACCGAGAGAAATCCACATTAAAATCATTTTCGACCTCAAACTATCGGGTTGACGCAAAAGTTCGGTTTTTTAACTCTCTCTCTCTCTCTCTCTCTCTCTCTCTCTCTCTCTCTCTCTCTCTCTCCTCTCTCTCTCTAAGTTCTTCGCCCAAAAATCTCAGAATTTCTACGAAATTCGGGATATCATTCAGCTATTGGAAAGATGGCGGGTCATCAAACAAATATTTATAATTGACTGATAGTATCTTAAACTAAATAAATGTCATATAAGGAGGGAGGATGGGGATAATAACGATTACATCTTTGAATATTTTTGAAACCGGCCGGAAATGACTATAATTTCTCTCAGTACGTCAGTACGTCCAAGAAGGAAGCCTTTTCCTCCGTGTAACTTTCCCCTCGCTCGTTCATTGGTCGTCGTAATAGCGCGATCCGCTATCGATCCGTCTTACCTCGCCAAAGGCACCCCTGCCGATGACCTTGAGAGGCTCGAAATCCTCGACGCCGAGCCTCGACCGCTTCAGCCGGAGGAACTCGGTCTCCTTCTGGGCATGCTGCAGCCTCTTCTCCTGTTTCTGCTGCTCCGACAGGCCCTCGTCCTTCAGGGACTCCTCGAGCTTCGCCAGCCTCTGCTTCCGCTCGATGTGCTGCGCTATCAGGTTGCTGTAATAGTTCTCCAGCGTTACCTGCAAGAGGCAAAACGCACACAGGGATTATCTCCGATCTACGCTCGTACGATACACTCCTCCTCCACACGCCTCCTGCCTTCTCCTTCCTCTCAACTTCAACCTCCTCCTCTCTTCCTGCCGCGATGTCGTCGCGAACGGAGCTCGACGTAACGCGATCGATAACGCTTTATCTTGCGCACGACAAAACCACTTCCGCCGAGAGAACGCGGCTCTGCCACGGCTGGCGATTATTATGCTCCGCGGGATCAGGTTCGCGCGCGAAACACTTCGGGGCCGCCGGTTATGCGCCTCACCCGCAGGATCGTCGCCACCGTGCGGACGGAAATTGCGGGGACCGCCGGATTTTCCCGACTAAACTACTTTCCCGGCCGGCCAACTCGGATTAAATTCCGACTACGATTATAACCGGTCGTAATTAAAGTTTTTCATATTCCAATTAAACCTCTCGCGCATTACAATTATTGTAAATGTACGAGAGCGAGATTAAAATTAAGACTGAAATTTATCTCCCCTCGTTCGCGTAGGCGCGAACATATATGTGTGTGTATGCACGCGGGGGGAGGGGGGACACCCGAGGTGCTCCGGCGAGTACGAACGATTGGGAACGCGAATATTAAATTATCAGTTATTATGCGACGATCCTTTTAACCGACTGTCCATGACACGTCTGAGTTACGCCTACATATATATTCACGGATGAAATAAAAATATGAGAGCTCCGGTGACCTTTTCTTATACAACAAGCGTCTGTAATACAAAAGGTGGCGACTGTGTGTGATATAACACGCTGAGAGAAAAAATATCTAAGAAATAAAAAATATTTATTCGATGAGTGTTAAATAATATATTTACTTATACATGTTTATATATCGAGAGAAAATTGTTTCAAATGAAAAAAATATACATTTTCTTTAATCTGTAGCTTTCCATGAAAGCAATTGTTCGTTCCATTTAAATAAAAGAATTTAGATTTGAATAAATACAAAAAAAATATATATATTTATAAATATGTTATTGCACCACCGAATAAGTATTTCTTACTTTATAGATATTTTCTCTCCCTCAGCGTGTGGGAAATAAATTCTCAGTACTCAGAAAACGCCGGTGAAAATTTAAAGGGGCAACGAGAAATTCCGTTCGTCACTTAATGTCGAGTGAACGTGAGCGGGAGAAATTTAATTAAAAATTCAGCGCAAATATTTTTAATTTAAAAAATCACTTAACGATCGAGAGCGTCTCATGAGCGAGGCGGTCGATCAATATCATCCCGCCGTAATCACATTGATTTCCCGCTATTCCTCGTAAACCGATTCGCCCGTCTCTCAGGCGGTTGACAAGCGTGTCGTATAGAGCGGAGCGGTCGCTGTCTTAATGAAATAATGAAGCGGGAACTAAATCCGGACTCACCTTGGCCTTGGTCGCCTTGTCCAACGTGTGGCCGCTAAATCGGATCGTGCTCTCGGTGGCCGCCATCTCCAGCACCCCTGCAACAAGCGAAAGCGGGTCACGCTCAGTGTGTGTCGCCAGTCCCCCCCGATTAAAGACTAAAACATCGTCGTGACGACGCGGACGCGGTGCGTTCTCCCGACTTGCGCGCGTGTTGCCAATGAAAATATCGGTCAAGCGAATTAGAAGGTGAACGACACCCTCTCTCTCTCTCTATTCTCTTCTCTCGTTACGAAACCGCCTGACAGCTTGTTAAGTGTAACACCGACAGGAGACCGTCGCCGGTTATTTTTACAACGAGATGATATCCTCGGAGCATCGCGTTCGGTTCATCCGATATTTTCTCTCTTTCATTCACGTGACACGTTGAGAGAAAAAAATTGTTCATCTCGTTGCAAATGATAGTCATTTTCGGCGTAAGCCATATCTTCTTCCGGTTCAACGAATAATTAGTAGTAATAATATACGTATGAGGTTATTATCGACAAGATTATAGCATCATTATAGATTATTATACACGAGGAGAAAAGATTGGTGGAATTAACGTGATAATGGAGCGAACCAAATGCGTCTTGGTTGAAGGGGACAGAATTTCTGGTTCTAAGAATCAAATTTGGTTCGTAAGATATGTTGTTTCTCTTAACCAAAAGGCTCGCTCGGCTCCGTTCATCTCGTCACGTTAATTCAACCGAACTTTTTTTCTCCGCGCAGCGCTTACTACAAAGATGGCTTTCTCGGCTATAATCATTTCACCGTGCAGCTGTAGTCACGAATACCAAACACTTGTTTCTCAGCGTCGAGGAGAAGGTGCACGGGGAAAAAAACTATTCCATCGGTGTAACTGAATTTTCCGTTGCTCGGGGACCGGACGAAAACTCGGTTGTGCTCTTGAAATTCCTCGGAATGAAATTTCACTCTGAGGGCAGGGTGACCGACGAGCCGCTCGAATTCGAACGATTTCTCACTCGTACGGATACCACCGCTCCTAAATCGCCGGGTGAATAATTTCACGCAAAATCGTTGGGTGAATCCGACGGGTGATTCCACCGTCGCGGGAATATATTCACTCCAATCGAATGAAACATTCGCTCGTACGGTGTCGAAATCCACCCCGAGCTTCAGCGAAACCGTTCAATCTCGCGAGATCTTCGCTATCGCTTCGAAAATACCGCCACTTCTCGCACGTTTTGAGCGAGATCCCACTCCGACGTCCTCGGCGAGTAGGAGCGGGAAGAATCCCGCGGGAGGTTTCTGCCCCTCCGATTGCTCTCTCGGCCGACTTTTAACGCAGCCGAATGTTCACAGTCGCGGTAACAGAGGCGTCAATTCCCGCCGTCGAGTTTTCGTCCGACCCCTATCCAGTTGCACGGGCTGGGTCTTATTTTCCACACGGAGATACCGCGCGAAATCAGTTTCAGGCTCGCCGTTCCGAGAGGAGATCGCTAAGGTTAATTCCGTCGAAGTAATTCGATCGCTCTCGCGGAAATCTCCGTAGACCGGGAGCCGGGTCGGTTACCGGTGTTCTCGGGAAATCGACGTTGGATGCGTCCGAGGTAGTCCGTGTCCATTTTGGAGGATGCCTCGGAGAAGCGAGCCGTCGAAGCGGACGGAGAATGCCGCGACGGCGCGCGCCGATGTAACACTGCGAGCCCGATCCTGCCTTTCCCGCGGAGGGAACAGCGAAGTTTACACGCCCGCGTAGAATGACGGAGTATCACGGGTGCGTGTTACGAATTGTGTCCCCAGGCGGTATCGCGCGTTAATATTCGAAGGTCACAATGTGGAAAAAGTCGGAACACGTTCGTCATAATTGAATACTCGCTTTTAACAAGTCCCGCTCTCCCGCGAAACGAGAGAGGTGGACTCGTGGACGCCGGCCGACCGACGGCGATGGGATAAACCGATCTATTCGGAGCAATTACGGAGCCGCGGCGTCATTATGAGATATAGCCGGTGGATCGAGCTCCGCACGCGAGCGAGAGTATCGTGGCCCAGGCCCCGCTCTACCCGGGCCGTGCATCGGAATGAACAACTGGAATGTTCACGAACGGCACGGAGAAAGAAGTTTGGTTGGATTTATCCGACCGATCGACGAGACGCGAGGTTTCGTCGGGGGAAACGGGATTTCTGCCTCTCACGAACCGAATTCGGTCCTTACAACCGGAAATTCTGCCTTCTATCAAGACGGTGGCTTTTGGTTTCTGTTCATCGTCGGGTAAATTCAACCGGACCTCCCCTCCCCCTCCCCCCCCTCGCAAACCAGAGTTGCGTTTATCACGCTGAATTCTGCGAAATTATTGCGCGATCGCGCAATAATTTCGCAGAAACGTTTTGCGATCGCGAGACAGTTACGAATTTGATCGCGTGACAAATTTTACACACGCGAAAAACGCAATAGCGCGGTACTGTCGGCTGAATTTCAACGGTTTGATCGGAATTTTGCTCGAAAACTAACTGTTTTGCTGTCACTACTAAGAATTGGTGATTAAGGGCCACCTGCAACAGCCGTAAAGCAATAAGACGTAAGCGGTAAGCTAATTAATCAACTACACAGTAAAAATGAAAAAAAAAAAAAAAATTTTTTACTTGTGTTAAAATCGATTCTTGTTAAAATTTTCGTATGAAATTTTTCACACACGTTAATTCAACATATTGTGTTCATGTTATCTAGTAATATTACACTTTTATTTTTTGGTCGAGTCGATATTCAATATGTCTAAGTGTTAACGCACTTTATACTTTAGTGTCGACCAACATATTATGGTTATTTTAATTTTGTGCTACTTTTCGACATATTCACCTTGCGTCAAATTAACGCGAAAATCTTCGCGGACCGTTCGGCACACGTAAAACATTGTGTTAAATTTAACGCAAAACTTTTCGCCACGTACAATCGATTATTCTTGGACTGTCAAGCAATCGGACAATTAGTAAAAGCTTACTGCTTACGTCTTGCTGGAAACTTTACAGCTATTTACGGCTTTACACACAGAATGCATTCGCGAGGCAGCTACGAAAACGGCGGTCGCTTTCCAAAGTGTCTCGTCTCGCCTTAGTATCACTAAAACGTCATTTTTGTCTCGGGCGATGCCCGAATATTTCACGCTGTAACGCCTAAGTAGAAACAGCTCCGATAAATTAAGCTCCTGTAACAACGGCGTCGGCTGTCTCCTTTTCAAAGAGACCCCTCAGCCGCAACGCTGCATCTCTCCGCTCCTTCCGTGTGCAAACTCGCGCGTTTATCTCGCGAGATAATTCCGCGAAATTATTTCGCGATCGCGATGCGAATCGTGAGGTTAATCGCGTAGACGGTCTGACAACGCCGCTCGCGTCGACCCGGTGACTGCGACTGAAATGAAAACGAGGGATCCTCTCCTGTGTTTACCGTTTCTCTCCTCGTCGGGAAAGCTACTCCCTCCGTGCTCGAAACGAATACATTAAACATTCCTCGTCCAGCACGACGGAGAGGAGACGCCTCATCGTCGTCGGCTACGATCTGATGTATCGCGGTGCATTGTTTCTATACTAACCCGGTTTCCTTTGACACTCGAGGGCAATTCAGGATTAAGTGGCTCGCGACAGGTACTCAGGGCGACCCAATTACGATTCACGGCGAAGTATCGCGTGGCTCAAAGGGACTCTCGGATGCGAGCGCGCGCGGCTCTCTCCACTCTTTGTTAATTATGCGGTTTATAGTCCCGCATAATGTGCGGATCCTGTTACGAGCTCGTGTTAAATTTTTGAGGTAACGACACACCGACCGCGGAGAAGCCGCCGGCACCGGCGCAACGTTAATTCGTAATTGCGTTTTCGCAGCTGCGTTAACCGTAACTCGCCTATTTACCCGTCCCGTGGGTTTAAACGATTTCGAATTTATAATCGGAACTGAGACGGAGAGCGAGGAAGATGTAACGACGCGCGGTTGTCGCGTGAATATTTCACACCCCTGGAAAATAATTGTCAGCCGAAAAGTTCGCTCCGATTTGTGAGCCGATTTGTACGTATGTGTGTTCTGTTGCATTCAATGGAAGCGAATTATTTCAACTAACGAGCAATCGCCGCTTGTTTATGCTTATGACATACGTTCTAGCAAAATTCGTATATTTACGCAAATTTTGTTGTACAAACTGTACGATACGAGTGATTCTACCTCTGATTGGGAGGATTAAGGTAAATCGGACGATAAATACGACCGATATAGCGTGTCGGATTAATTTCACGATCGCTTCATTGAACTAGATTTTGAGCTCGTTTCGCACGAAGAGAAAACATTGTTTAAAACTCGCGAAAAAATGCTCACAATGATTTCATAATTATAATAATTTTGCTAAAGGGGAATTAAGGCGGTTGGCGCGCTGCGCACGGGCCCTGAAATTAAATTCGTTTAACTCGATTCGAGTTCTAACTTCTTTTTTTCGAGGGAAAAAAGTAACTCCTATTCCAGTAGTTAAAAACTAGTAGCTCCCACAAAAATTAGCTGCCCGTATAACTGAAATTTAATTAATTAATTTAGCCCATTCCTTTTGTACCTGTATCTAGTTTTTAGCTACCACAGTTATAAACTAGATCTGGTAACTGAATTTCAGTTATATCGCATGAATAATTAATTCCTTTTCTCCGTGCTCTTTTTTTATCATTTCCACGACTATAAGCCACGCAATAAATATTTAATTTGTCGCGTGCCGTGTGCGAAGAATAATTCGAAGAAACTCTTCGCGCGCCGGCTGCGCGATCCTCGAGAGACCAGGCGAGGAAACGTCGCTCGATACCGTCGAACGGAAACGCCATCACATTAACAATACACGACTGATGGAGCGACAAACTCTCGTCCGGCTTGAAAAAACGGCGTATCCCGCCGCGGCCGTATACTAAGTATGTTTACCGTAACACAAACGATGATTCTTCTTCTTCGCGAGGGACATGCATTTCGAGGACATCGCGCGCGTAGTGTCATCGCGAGTGAATCATTATTACGCAATCATGCGATACAGGTACGCAACATAACACAATGAACAACGAAGACATCCGTTTTGCGAGACGACACCTCGCCCGTCACCATCTTCTGAGAACGTGTCGCGATATCGCGCAGCCACGATTTAACATATCGAGGGGATCCCGTTAAAATTACCGGCCATTGCCGGCCTAAACTACATCTTCTTCTGGTTTCAATTCAGAAAGTAGTAGCAATATGCATGTAAGGTTATTATCACTGACGCTATAATAACATTTACCATTTAAGACGGTTCTCCCAATTATAATTTTTTCAGTCGTGCAATTATAGTTACCAATTTTTTTTGTTCTCAGCGCCTGGCCGCGATTTACAAAAATCCTATCCATGCATCCACCGTTGTCTTTTTTTTTCCGGCAAGCAAAAAATATGGATCGTCAGCAATATTAATTAAATCTCTGATAATCCAAATCCCGGGAGAACAAAATCGAAGCAAGAGAGAGAGAATGTATTTCTCCCGGTCGAGGCGATGTTTTTTCACAACATTAGTCGAGTACTTGCGAGGTTACTACTAAGAGGCTTCGAATAATTAAAGACTGGATTTAAGGATCCGAGAAGAGAACCGGCGGAAACGGGAACTCGCTTTCATCCCTTGCCGAGAGATCCTGACGAAATTACGCGCGAACGATCTTGATTCATAAGCCAGGTAGAATGCAAGGAAAAATATATTCCCCGATTCTAATTAAAAGAAATTAATTTAACCCCGACGAATTGCGCCATTTGTCTACAATGAGCGTTGTTACACGGGAACTTCGTCGATTTAATGGCGCAGCGTTAATTGGCGTGTTGGTCTGCATACTGCACACCTATCTGTTTTAATACGGGGATCAGCGATGTTCGACAAACATTATTGATCCTATACAACGTTATCGTGAAATAATTGCCAATTAACGCAGCATAGTTAGGCAAGCGATCGCAAGACCGGAAGATTATATGATTAATGCGCGGGGGAATAAACGAAAACTCGCGGTAATATCGATCGTTAATAAATTCACTTACCCTAATTTACACTAATTACGATAAAATACACCAACGTGCTATTAAACGGGAAGTTCCTGCGAGTTTTTCCCGTAATTACCCATGGCGCTTTCATTAGCGCTTCGAGATAAAAAAGATCGAAAGATAGAGATAGAGATAGAGAGATAGAGAGATAGAGAGAGAGAAAAGAGAGGTGATTGTGGAGAATGTATCGGGATGAACCAACATATACGTAGAAAAATAAACCAAAATTAACGCCACTCTGCGTCGCGCAGCGTGCAGTTTCGCCCGCAATGCAGCAGCAGCAGCGGTGGCAGCGGGGAAAAGTTCGACGGCCCAGGCGAAGCTCGACACGCAGCGAGGACGGACCTAGATACAAGGCCGTCCCCCTTGCGGTTTATTTTATGAGCGTTGATTAGACGCGCCTGTCCGGAATATCGCGCTATCATAACTGCACTGGACGTTAATTATCTCGGACATCGTATTAATCATCGTTGCGTGATACGTCGCCGAGCGGCTCGGGGCGTACAATGTGTGTTCGGCTAAAGCGACGCGCTCGTCCGCTCGCTCGCGGTTAACTCGACACCGTGCGCGTGTCTCGTTTCCGTATATTTATATTGTATTGTGTGTACAGCTTCGAGGACAATCTCGGATGGCGAGGGAGACTCGGGGGGGGNTCTCGGGCGCAATCTTATTCTTAATCTCGACGTTATTATCCTTTACGCTGAGAAATTTCGATCTGTCTGTTGCTATCGGGTCGCTTGGTAATTTCGTGCGGATTCTTGCGAAGGGTCCGAAGACTGACACTTTTATAATTCGGCATAATTTTACTCAATAATGTATTAATATTATTGTTGTTTTTCGATGGCAAAAATCATCGGAGAAACAAAGGGGCGAGTTGTGTCTGCACTGAGTTTCACAAATAGTATTCATATTCGTGTTAATAATGAAAAATGCAAAAATTGCGATCAATTACGTTTAACATATTAAAGAAATAATATAAAAAGCTTCCTTTTGATGGCGCAATGAGGTGAAATTATTCACAACGATCAACCTACGTTGGCTTTCAAAACTGTTAATTAAATTGAAAATCAAAAAACCTTAAATTATTGAGTCTTATTAATAACGTTTACAAGACAAAACGTTTCTATACACACACATACACACATATATACGTTAGTATCCCCGAAAATGTTAATATTTACCCAGGAGACGCCGCTCCGTTTTCTCTTCGGTTACGGCAAGAATAAATAACGCGAACGACGAGAAGTCTTCGGGGGGAGGGGGTAGTCAACAGGTTCCTACGCACAAATTTGTATACGTTCCCGGAAGGCTCCTTGCGAACGTCTGTCGCGCGTGGGTTGATTCGTGCTGAATTACGATATAAATGTCTATTAATTGCCGGCGCGTTCAGCGCGTGTTATAGAACGTGTAAACAAACGGCTCTCCCTCTCACTCTCACGTGCGCTCGCGTGGCCTATGCGTATGCCTTCTCGAATATCGAGAATTAATCGCACGGCCCGCCGCACAGGAACCGGGGGTTGCGCACGTTTCCACAGCGGGAAATCCCGGCGGAAAAACGTCCGCAGAATTATTGGGAAGCGAGTATCGAGCACGTAAAAACGCTCGGGCACGCGGTGTGTTATTATTAATCAGCGATAAAGGCGAGCGAAACGCGCGCATGTGTGACGTTATCGTGTGTTTAAACCGAGCGATACGCCTACTCTCTTCTAACGAAACGTTGACTCAGGCGCGTGTGACGTGAAACGTTGAAACTTTTCGCAACTGCGCTGGGAATCCTCCACGGAGGTGCTTCCCCGCCGCTGATTCTGGGCGAAATGAGAATTTCGAGGTCGCTCTTTCTCGCGTGAAAATTAACGCACGGAGAAGGAGGTTTAGCCGAACTGACCTGACGACGAGGATGAGGCAAACGCGATTTTGATCGACGGGAACAGAACTCCCGGTTAAGAAGCGAATTTACAACAGCCAGGAATTTTCTCTGCTCCCGCCAGCCAGGACGGCGTTCGGTCCCTTCATTATTACGTTATAATTAACTGAACCTTTCTCACTGTAAGAAGAGAAATATTCCTGCAGGAGGTTTCTCTTCAGCCAATTGCTTCCGGTTAATTTCACCCGAGTTTTAACGCAGCTGAGTGTCCACACCGAATATTTCTCAGTCGCGGTAACAGAGAGTATATCAACGAGTATTCCATCTGGCTCCTATTCAGCTACGAAAACTGGGTCTTTCTTCCCGCGTACTATTTTTTGAGTTCAACTAGAAAAAAAAAAAAAAGAAAATACAGGCTGAGGTCGCGAATGGCTGCAATTTTAGTGGGATTTCTCCCAGTGCGGAGATCCGAAAACGCGTTCCCGTTTACCGAGACGGAACGAGCAGAGATGCGGTTGCCTTCGCGTCACACAGTTTCAGCGCGGATCGCGCGTGCGAGAGGAAGAAACCGGGCGCGCTCCAAGTAGAACGTAGGAACCGCGATCACCCGGGTCCTTAAACGGCAACGAGGCGTGGGGTGAATCACAGGGACGACGTTGTTCGTGCGTCCGTCCGTCTGCTGCCGCGACACTTACGTCGCTCGTATGCGCACAGTCTTGAGAAGCTTATTAAATAATAGCGGCGGGTGCGCGGACGTCAACAATATTTACGCGACCGCGGAGCGTTTCGCACGCGTCGGACAGTCCGACCGATGCTATCCGTCGGATCTACGCGAATGAATCTTCCTCCTCTTTCTCCGGTCGCCGCGAGATCGCAGTTACTCAAACATGTTACAAGCGTGTGACATTTAATAGCGGAGGCATCAAACGGTGAGGAATATCCGAACGGAAAGTTCAGTGTGAACGGCGAAAAGAGGATTAAAGGAAGCCACGCGCGGTCGTCAGATACGATGGAATAAATGCAAATGAAACGCGCGGAAAGGGAACGGGTGTGGACTTTACATCCGTCGTAGGATCAACCTGACCGAAAATTACTACGTCGCGAACTTATAAACCGCGCAAAGCCGGCGCCCTCGGCTGGAAAGGGCGAATTCTCGCGTCTCGTTTTGCGTACGTGAAACGGCCGGACGGAGTGGGTACGGCTTCCTCGGGGTGGCTCCGCGCGCGACCTTGTAATCCGTAATGTAATCAGCGAGCGGCGCCACGACGGGCTGTTGCGTGCCAAACGAATCGGCAAATGTCACGCCGGAGCGCAGTTTCCCGTTGGAGAACGGCGGAACGTCGAAATGGCGAAATTCTGACCACGTTGTCGCGGTCGTCGACGCACCCGCCGACGTCGTTGCTGCCACGGCGGCTTCGGGAAATCGCGCAAAATCGCGGGAATTCGAAACCGCCCGGGGAGAACAGTCGCAGCCGGGAAAAGTCGTTTCGCGCGAATTGTCGTCGACGTCGAGATCGAGAAAAGGAAACAAATGGAGAAAAACGCCCCCGCGCTTCGCCGCCGCGACGAACGCAGTTTAATCGACGTGCGTGCGCGCTTGATCGCGTTCTCTTTATCCGCGCCTGTACAGAAATCTGTAATAATAATAATTTCTGAAGAGCGAGAGAGGGAAATTCATTCAATCACAGTAAGACTTATTTCACTATGGCACCGATTAGGGATTCTACGCAGAGAGAAAAGAAATATCTGAAAAGTAAAAAAAATACTCGTTCCCGTCGTCCATCGGGTCGAAACCAAATTGATTTTTCAGCACGATCGCTGATCGGACGGGCAATGTGAGCGCGGACTAAAAGCAAGGAATTTCGACCGGTATCTTACGGAACCAACTGGCCGTGCTTATCGTGACGATTCCCGCTTTCCTTCACTCGACCGAGAGACACGGGAAATCGATTTCACATCCCAGGGGCTCACCGAGGCTCTCCTCTCTCGCGAGGAACGCGCATCGCGTGCGCGCGTTACGCGCGCACGACCAACCTACTTGCTCGGAGCGAGGATAACCGTAAATAACGGTCACCGGCGCGCTTCTTGCGGATCCGCCGGAGGAATCGGCCGAGGAGCGCCCGGAATCGAGGAGATCCCTCTTCCTCCGGTCTTGTCGCGCGCGCGTGCTCGCGAAATATCTCGGCCTCTGACGAAACGTGGTATATCGGAGCGTCGTAATGCGATTACCGGGCACAAGTCGCAGCACCAGCAGCACCACTAAGGCCGGCGGAAGTCGGATCACCGCGTTAGTACGCACACATGCACGTCGAGTGTGCGCGAGAGAGAGAGAGAGAGAGAGAGAGCACCAGCTTTCTCTCTCTCTCTTTCTGTCCATTATCGAAGCGAGGCTTCCCCGCAGTATTCAACGTTACGTAAGAGAACGACGCGGGTATTAAGTTCTAAAGGGGAAAAACATCGGCGACCCCCCTTCCGAGGGAGCGATGGAAATTTGTAATTAAGTGACGTGCAGTAACGAGATTAGAGAAGGAGCTCGTTTTGCCTGCGGAACATGTAAACGAAGCAACCGGACGAACGCTTTACTCAAATTAAACACCACCGTGCTCTGGACCGCTCTCTCTCTCTCTCTCTCTCTCTCTCTCTCTCTGCTCTCGCGCACGTATAATTAAAAACATATATTTTATACGTATCGCGTAAAACTGCGCGAGAGCGTGAAGTGAAACGTAATGCAATTAATCTGCGTGTTTCTTTCTTAATTACCGCGAGAGCTCGCGATGCACGTCGGGCTCGTTGACGTTCGCATAATCTCTCCCGTCGTAAAGCCGCCGAGCCTGCATCATTCCGCCTCGCCGAAGTCGCGACGGTTTCAGCCGATCCATCGGCGAAGGGACTCCGGGGCGTTTCAGCGCCCGATAAATTTATTTATATTACATCGGATGACGAGAATAATGCGTTCTGTTTTCCACGGTTTCTTCTTTCCCTCCTATCGTCTTCTCTCTCTCTCTCTCTCTCTCTCTCTCTGCTTCTCTCTCTTTTTTTCTCTTCTCCTCTCGACCGACCTCGCCATCGAGTTCCGTCAGTGTCGTCGACCGACAGAAGGACGCGAAAATAGATCGCGCGAGTTCACCGATGAGCGAGCATCGATGAACAGCCGCCGGCGACTCTATCAAATTATCAATCGAGGAAACGCGACGCGATCGGCGTTCCTGAGGAAGCCGAACCGAGAAAGAAAGAGAGAGAGAGGAGAGAGAGAGAGAGAGCCGTGGACATAAAAATAGCCGGTGCTTCCTGTATTCCGCCGCGAGTAGCTGTGCAGATAGCGTTTCTCCTCATATCCCCCGCGGGCTGATTGAATTACACGTATTCAGATAATTCGCGCTCGTCCCGAGTTATATTCAGCCCTCGTCACGAACGGCGTCACCTCTTCCCCCCCCCCCCCCCCC